TGCAGTGGATGGTACAGCGATGAGATAGACTCTACAGAGAAAAACTGAGATCTAAATAGGGCACGAGATGATTATTAAAAATAACTGAAATCCATGTAACAACAATGCAGCAGGCTGACTGTCAACAGGATCAGCTGAAGTATTTGGCCTTTCTTTGACAGGCCCATATGAACACTGTTTGATTTAATGTGCTCTGGCTGCCACTACCCTACAGTGTCTATTATTAAACTTGACACTATTACATTTTCCAAAATCTCACATTCTATTTAGGCTGTCACAGGCAGATTGTGGGTGCAGAAATAGACAAGAATATATTATTCTGTGATCACTGCCTGTACCAACATTTTGCATCAGTTCTAGCTCCAGAGACCTGCTGGTGCCTGACTGAAAACCCAAAATGTCTTCAGAGAAGCAGCTAGCACAGCACTGCTGGCAGAATTGCAATCTCTCCAAGTTTGCTCTGGCTTCACAGCAGCCCAGCAATTCCAGTTTTTCCCTGATTTGTCACAGGATGATAATATGACAGACTAAAATGTGCTACAAAAGCATGACAAGAAATAACGTGGCGTGTGAGGATGGGATTTTACTCGAAAGATCAGCTTGCTGTCTTTCTAACCTTTTCCCACATTTACTGGAAGAACTTTGCAAATGTTCTAATTTGAAAGCAATGTCAAGCTGGAACATTTTCCAGCTTGACCTCAGTCATCATTGCTGCAGCTCTGATCACACGCAGCAGACAGCTCAGTAGAACAGAAAATTATCCCATTTTGTTACATAGCATGCACTGTGTCAAATTTAAACAAGAAATCAAACCAACTCATTGATTTAGGAGAGATGAGTTGCCTTACCAGCAGGGATAAAGGGAGTGACTTGTCCTGTTTTAAATGCAGAGGTAAATAAGAAGCTGATTATCCCAAACTGAAGCAATGTTGTCTCAAACTGACAGAGAAAAACCGCCAAGCAATTGTGTATGACTCCACTGTTTCACTTATCAGTCACCTTTGGTGTCAGCTGTAACAAGGTTCAATTATATTATATGCTCCTACAGGAAGCAGTGATTAAGTTGTCCTCTTAAGGTGCAAAAAATGTCTGTCAATAGAAGTGTCCAGCTACTGAAAGGACTCAAAATCTTCTAAACATGACACTGAACAGGCCCAGAGAGCAGAAGGGTGCATAAGAAACCCTCCCCAAGAGGGCCAGCTGCCCCTGAGACAGTGAATTGCAGGACACTCCCAATGGGAACCCACCAGCAAGATCCCATTTAGAAATTCATCCTGGATTTAGAGATTCCACTGCAATGTTTTTGAGGCATTGCCTTTCTGTCTAGACTGCTTCAGCTCCAGCTGCCAAAGCAGACATGGAGTCATGCAATGTTCTGTTAAACATTCTCAGTCTAAGAGGCAACACGCAGAGCTCAGTTGAGCAATGGGTTTCCTGCACATCTGGAATGTCCTCTCAGAGGAAATCTCCACCTGTTCTACTGTGTACAGCACTCTGGGGAGTTACAGGGTAAGAAGCCTTGTCTTTTTGAAGGTTTCCTCCACTGCATTTAATTTCTAAATGCAGTGCTATATCTTTCACCTAGTTTTACTAGATTTTCTCAATTCAAACTTAATACTATGCCCTTGACCTTCGCTTTATTTATTCAGCTTTTTTGATGATGATAACAAGTGCTTTGTCCTAGATGTCAGGTCAACAATGTTTCAGAGACACAGGACCTTAAATGACAATAGTCCAACATCTCAGCTGCACTTAGGGGAGCAGACTGGAAAACTGGAACCGTATGGTCCATATGACAGGAAATGCTGTTGTGCACAAACACAGCAGAAGCAACAATCTCAGCCATCTCTTAATACTATGATAGTTTCTTGAATTCACACAAAGCCAAGCGTGGTTTCCCCAACCGGATTCAGAAAGCCACATCAATTTTGGTCTGATTAAAGGCTCATTCAAAACCACAAGAAGCAAAACAATGTTAAGTTTACTATGACTGCCACATTTCTGGGAGTGCTAGTACAGAAGATGAATGAAGTCCACATGGTTCCCTGCACATGGAATACAGCTCTGATTTATATTAGGAATGTGCACCCCTTTATACAATGGCTGCTTGATTGATGCAGAATGGATCATTATGTTCCAATCCAATACCCGGCCTGAACTTACCATGCAGGTATTTCATCTGTTAAAGTCTACAGAAATGTTACAAAATTGAAAAAAGTGTCTGGTTTATTATGCCACTGGCTTTCAAAGCACAATCCTTTTCAATTTCAATATACCTGAAAATAATTTTTTTTTAAAGCCAGCTCTCAAAATAAGATAAACTACACACAGCAGTTCATTGCTACCCCGCTCATTAAAGCAGCAGTGCAAAGCCACCAGGAGGAAGACAAAGCTTTAGTGTGTGTATGCCCCACAAGAACAGACCACATGGGCCATGACTCAAGGGAAAAAACCAAAAACCAAAGACTCCCAACCTAGCACTTGCATGCCTAGAAGTGCTTAGCCTGGGAAAGGCTGGGGGGATAACCCAGCTGCTGCCTGCCACTGCCCAGAAAGGCAAACGGGAAAGGCAGCACCAGGCACTTCCTGGAGGTGAAAGGATGAAGGACAGCAGTCACAAATAGCAACAAGGAGAATTCACACTGGATGGAAAGAAAAATCTGTTCACTGTGCCATCAAGAAAACATTCTTCACAATGGAGGCTAAGCAGTGGAGAAGGCTGCACAGGGAGGTAGTGAAGCCATCCTGGTATTTATTTCATGGTGTTTAGAAAACACAACCAGATGAATCCCTAAGCAACCTCAAGTTGAAATTAACCCTGCTTTGAGCAGAGGCTGAACCAGCTGATTCCACAGTCCCTTCCAACCCAATTTTTAATGTTTCTGCCTCATACTAGGCTGCTTAGAGCATTGCTCAAGATTCACAGCTTTCTTTTCTTGTATTTTAACACTTCCTTACTTTACAAATATTAATTCTAAGGGATGGGGGGACATGACACAATTAAGTTTATTACTACAGCAACAATGTTTAACTGCCTACAGGTTTTAGGGAGGCAAGGAGATTCAACAAGGTACAGGAAAAAAGACCCACCAGCACCTCTAGGGGAACTGTTTGCAAAGAAAACTTAAAGCACAGTGACAGAGCCCTTTATAGCTTTGGAGCAGATGTAGATCTATAAAATAAACTCACTCTTGCAGACACCTGGTTTGCATGAGCACAAAAGTGCTACTTGGAGACTGGGGTCTAGCACCACTGGTATAAATTATGCAGATGTGATACACAAAGCTACGATAGTTTCTTTAAAGCTGGAGATCAAACCACTTTGGCTTGTCTTTAATCATGCCTGACAGTTTATAAGAATTACACTGATTTGGTATTCCCCCCGCACTGCTGTATTGAATGAAGTGCTTGGAAAGAGGTTGTTAAAAAGCAGTACAAAACAATGAAGTTCTGTGTTTGTCCACAGATCTGAAATTTTGCATTCTCTTCCCACTACCCTGCCAAAATGCCCAAATTATAGTCTTGAAGGAGCTGGTTTATAGTACCCATGAGTTGGAAAAGCCCATTATGATTTTGTTTTACTGAACCCAAGATTTCTTCTCATTTGAAGAAAGCTTCTTGCTAGTCCTGCACATTTTATTTTGAGATTTGACAAACCAGACAAGGAAAAGAATCATTGCCACCTAAAACCTGGTACCACATTGACAAGTCCTGAGCAAAGATGAGCACTGTAAGTAACACACAATACATTTTCAAGTGTGACTAGCATGGTGGTCTGTCACAGAAAAGGATGATGATCATGTAAGGGCACTCTACACAGGAAAAAGACTTTTCAGTATCTACAAAGTTTTCATTTTAACTAACAGACACTGAGCAGAAAGCTTCAGTTCTGAAAGCACTTTTTTAATGGCATAGAGGAAGTGAATGGAAAGAGTAAATTCCTGTTTTTGCTGAAGCGGACATGCCAGAGACAGAATTTGGGTCTGACAAAAAGTCCCAGGCTCCAATGTGTGACCATTGTTCTTTGCTATATCAACTGATATGACCAAGAATAGTTTTGTTCTGTTGTCTTTGTTTGCCTCTCAAACATTTGTAAGCACCATTAGAGCGTGTCTTTTACCAGACTACACAGGCCCAGCTTGTCAGTGTCACTTCAGAGGGTGTGTGCTCTGGGGTCCCAGACTGTCTTGGTAGCCCTCCAGCTTTCATTATATAAAGATTCATTGTCCAAAGTAAAACGAAGTCCCCTTTGTATCTGTTGTAATAGTATAACACTGAAAGAGTTAAAAACAATGCAGATATTCATCACTTGTGTGGAAAATCTGTGCTCTGAAGGGCTGCCCAATTTTCAGTAATTATAACAACTTTTTTTAGATGTTAAAAGAATGTATGCATAGGCCATACATTTCCTTCTAAGACCAAAAGAAACATGTTTTTCTTATGAAGCTTAATGAAAACAGTGTTTTTTGTTGTGCATTCCCGATGGCGTATAGCTAAAGGAAATTAATTCCTCTTTAACCAGGAACTGGGACTTGGAGGAGACCAGGAACAGTGCTACAAACAACTGCTTTGGGGCAGTCCACACCGGCATCCTGGAAAGCTCAGCTGACCACACAAGGCCTCTGAGGTTAATCTTGCTATTGGATAGTTCTGTAAACACTGTCTCGAGTCCTGTTCTTTACATTTTTACACCACTCAAGGCTTCAAGCCAAGGCCTCGATAAAAAAAACTATTTGGTTCTTGAAAAGCATTGGCAAAAAGCTGACCAAACAGTCTGTTTCCAATACTACCTAGTGAAGTCTGAAAGAATCAAGACTTCCTGCATGCAGCCCGAGAGCTACATTTGCACTGAGGGATCAAACCCATTTAGCCTCCATTTAATCTCTCTCTACTGACAGCACTGAATGTTCCTGCATGAGGCATGTGTTCAGCAATACTGTGGCCTGCCCACAGCCACTCAGCATCCTGCTGTGAGCCCATGTTCTGCAGCAGCTTCTTACCTACAATGTCTTCGTAGGCATTTTCTTCTAAAGTGCTCTTGGATCCAAATTTATGCTGGCTCTCGGTTCCATTTTCAGTCGGGGAGGGAGGGTACAGGGATTGCAGGCTTGAGGCATCCTCAAACTCAAAGGATTTTCTAAAGTTTACAACAATAATAATTAGTAACAAGAATGCAAATTTATTCAAACATTTAGATTATTATTTGCATATTAAGAAATATAAATAAAATTAACTATAATTTTTTTAAAAAAATCTCACATCATGCTTTAAGGGCTAGCTTTTAGTGGACACTAAGCCCTGTGCTCACAGCAGTCTCTAGTAGGGCCATCTATGACAATTTTATGAAGTTGGAAGTATTGTTATCCCCATTATGCAGACAGAAAGAAAATACTTCCTATTTTTCCAAGTTTACAGAATAAGTTAGCAGCACAGTCCTCAGATTAGAAATTACTTTGCTCTTTGCAGAGACCCCAGAAACACGTGGCCCTCTGTCCTAAAGAAAGTCTCTGAAAAGCATTCCTGCAGTGGTTGCTCTGGGAGATGGAGCCCTTAGTCTGACACCACTCACATGTCTTGAACCTTTGGATATGTTCCTGTGCAGAGCTCGGTGCACAAATGCCAAAGGGAGACCCAAGTGCAATCATTCACATCCCTCCCACACCCCATGCCAAGCACTGGCAGCAAAGGAGAAAGCACTGAGAAATTGGTGCTCTCTGGGTGTGTGAGCAGCTTGGGCTGATGCTCAGGGGCTGAAGGTTTGGCCTTTCTGGCAGGAGGGTGAGGACCAGCTGGGTCAGATGAACCATTTGTCTCCCACCAGGGGTGATTCATCACCTCCCACCCACACCTGCCCCAGGGCTGCTGAGCAATTCTAGAGAGTTCTTGGGCTTTTCTCCCAAAGCTTTCCCACTCTCCAGCTCACCCATGCCTTGTTCTCTGAGGCAGTAACTACACTCAAGGTGGGACACCCATGACTGCAGTGGCAGCAGCACAGGGGCTGGCATTCATGGGATTGATTTACTGCTGAGGATGAAGCAGTGAGAAAAACAGGCTCAGGTCAGAGCATGAATAATCCCATGGTGCTACAAGGCTTGTGTGCACTGTGCTGGTGCCCATACTCTACTCACTAAGCCCCAACCTTGATTAACAGTAAATCATTCTGCCATCAACCCCTTTGTTTTTCTTCTTCCCAGCTGGAGTGGAGCACATGTTACAGCATGTCCATGTGGCAGTGACAGAGCCTCATGAGACACTTTGGCCTGTGAACTAGCTTGAGCATCCCTACAGGTAACACAATGACTGTGGCAGAGAATGCTGCATTTGAGAAGAGCATTTTCTGTTTTTCTGCTGGAGCAGGCTTACAGCTGGAATCAGGCTTAAGAGCCTCCTCTCTCTCCTTTCCCTAATCTTCAGAATATCCAGATCCAAGCTGTTCACATCAGGATTGTGGCAGAAACAATCTGTGCATGTCAGATGCAGACACGTGCTCCTCCACATCTACTCACAGTACAAAGGATGCTGACATGCTGAAGGCACCGCTGTGTATGAAATGAGACTGTTTAAAGTAGTTAAATACCCAGCTCCCAAGGATTTCAACCCTGTGATGTGGTGACACTGTGTAGGATGACAGGAATGGCTTTGTGGACCAACACTCAGCTGTGGTCCATGTGTCCCAAGTCTATCCTGTGACACTCCTCTGCTGCACCGTGTGTGTGCCAGAGGATTTCCAGCTGTGGGGGAACACCCAGCTCACACCACTCTGAAATGTTAAAGCTACTCTTGGCACCAGGTTCTCCAGATCCAGCCTGGCTTTCTGCTAGCAGGCAAACATTTCCTCCCTGTTACTAATGTTGAATTAGCCACCAAAAATCAAAGCAGTGCTTTCAACCGAAGTATTGGGAAAATAAATACCCTCAGTCCATTCTCATGGCATTGCAGTGAGTGCAAACCACGTGTATATTCAGTCTGAAGCACACAGCTACAAGCTGCAGGCACAATGAGTTATGTCTGTTCTCAAAATAAGAACAGCTTAGGTACTGAGGTTTCAGTAATTACTATCAACCAAATACTGTCATTCTTAAATTACTTGTATGGTCTTTAGTGCTTTGTAAATCTTGTTAATCCCTTATGTAACTGAAGGAAGAACAGTAGCAAAGACAATAAAATTAAGATTTTTTTTATAAAGGATCTACACTCAGCACTGAAGTCAGCTAGCAAAACTGAGATTTTTGGGAGGTTAATTTGAACTTATTTAGATCATGATTAACAAGAGATGTGTCCAGAGACATCATTAAAGTACAGTGGGTAAAGCTGTTATAAATGTCAGTAAAATGTCAAACTGATTTGCAAAAATTATCAGATAAACATGACAACCCTGTTAATCCTACAGTTTACATTCTACAACTTAAATTGATAAACAATGCTTTTTAGAAGGTTGTTTCCCCTAGCCCTAACCCAAGCCTGAAGCTCCTTGGCTGAACTGTGCTGTTAACTCTGCTCTGACAGGAGACTGAATCTGCAGAAAAGGAGGTGCAAGCAGATTAGACCTCTTCTGGAAAGGAGCTTCAAAACGTCATCTCAAAAACTCACTGTGATAATATACTGTGGTTCTTAGATGACTTGCCCATTTTCTGATGATAAAGGCTATCATTTACACCAGAACATTTAAAAATTGTTGTCTTCTGCATGTTGCAAATGCTGTGCTGAAGAAACTGAGGGCAGCTTTATTTCACAAATTTTCCTTAAAAACTAGATTTACTTCCTTTGAGATTATTGCCAGGACTAAAAGATAAGCACTGCTGATCAGAGCTTGATTTTCCACATCCCCCCACACCTTTCTGAAAGAAACAACCTGTCTCAGCAGGGCTGTTTGATCTTTCAGAAGCAGGTGTCTCCTGAGAGAAAAGGACTGAACCTGAAGGCTCCTCTTCTCATCTTGTCCCAGTATAATTCAGGTGAGGTTGTGCTAAAAAACTTTTAATAATTGAGCCAATATCAAGCAGCAGAATCTGATAGTGTGGGATAGTGTGCATCTGAGATGCTGTTTAGCAGTTCCTTGCAAATCTCATCACTAAGTATCAAGGGAGGGTGTGCATCATACACATGCAGACAGGTGAACTTGTTAAAAATGCTGCAATTTGAATGCTTAGCAACAACTGTGCCTACAATTCTCCAAGCAATGAGCAGAATTAGTTTTACCCTGCCTAAAACTCAAGAGGAATCACGTGATTAAAACAAGCTAAGCTCCACAAATTGCTGGGGAAATGCAGCCATACACTCTCCCCATCATTAACTCAGGAAGACATAGAGAACTTTCTGTGATACAACAGTTTTCTCAGCATTAATCCTCCATAGCTGTTGATAATAATTTAGGATAATATTCCTAAGGACTGAATTCAATAAAATCACCTACATTGCATAAAACTGACACAACTGTTATAGTAATGAACTTTGGAAATGGAAGACATCTGCAGGTACATTTTACAAGAAGAAAAGGCTGTAAAAAAGCTATGGTCCCACTACTGGACAATAATGAAATTATGATCCATTAAAAATTGCCAACAAGGGCATTTGTGCCAGAATTAGTTAGATAACCTTTAGCACACCTAACCTACAGCTTTTTTGGGGATCAAGGAATGAAGATTGTAGAACTCCTAAAAAAAAACCCCTGAAGGCATTCAAAGGTATTGTACCAGTGCATTCCATCAGTGCAGACCAGCAGAAAAATAAAATTTGTCTAGCATGCAATTCCTAGATTTTCTTACATCAAAAGCACTGCATTAGAGGGAGAATTTAAAATATTGCTACTGCAAAAATATAGCCCACTTATTTATTGATTTGGAGAACCGAGCGTGTTTCCTTGGCTTTTACCTATTCTGGGATTTTCGGTGAAAGCGCGACTCCTTCTTCTGCCTTCTAGTGACGGGGGGCGCGGGAGTGGACGGCAGGGGAGGAGGAGCAGCAGGGGTGGGAGATGGAGGTAGGCCATTGCTTGGTTTGCTCTTGTGGGACTTGTCTGCCTCGTACTCGAAGGTGCGTTTGGGCTTGGGGACGGGGTTCACGGCGCTGTTGGGCGCGCTTTCCAGGAGCGCTCTGGGGCCCGCTGAGTTCACACTGACGCCCTGTTTTGTTTTACTGCTTTTCTCGGCCTCAGGAGGCGTTTCTGGTTCGCTCCCCAAAATAACACCCCCGCCTTTGCTCTCGCTCAGGGTTTCGCTCAGTCCCTCCACAGTAGTCGGAGTCCCAGACTTTTTCCTCCCTTTGTCAACGCTGTAGCAGCTACTTGGTAACTGGGGGAGGCCTCTGCCCGACTGCTCCTTCAGTGCCTGCTCGATCTTCTGGATTCTGTTGAGCACAGCAGAGGACTCTTTCCTCACATGGCTCTTAAGGAAAGTGGCAGAAGGAGGTTCGCTCCTGCCTGGTCTCTTTTCAAACCGATGGCAGGAATCCCTGTCCAGCAGTTCCTCCTCCTCTGTTTCCGGGTAAGAGCACTCGGAAAATGTTCGGCTCATTCTTCTGAGCCCTTTGAAATCAAATGTCTTGTCGCTGCAGGGAGAGGTCAGCACGCTGGGGCAGCTCTCACTGCCCGACCTCTCCCCAGCATCCCTCTTGTCCATGCACACGCTGGCCCTGGGGGACAGCTCCCGGCGGCACTCCCATTCTGTGATCTTCTGCCTGATGTCCAGCGCCTGCGAGCGCACGCTCACCCTGCTGCTGGAGAGGGTCCTCAGTTTGGTGGCAGTGCCCAAGGACAGAGTGCTCCGGGCGAGTGGATGACTCCCTACCGCTTCCCCATCCCGAGCCTCGTTTGGACTCTCCTTTTGGTCAGCCTTGAACACGGAGAGCCTTTTATCCAGAGCGCCCACGCTGATGGCTTTGAGGGGGCGACTCGGCGACTCGGTGTCCGATGGGCTCGTGGAGGTGCTGCGCAGCGTGGACGTGCGGCTGTTCCACTCCTTGAGGCACAGCCTGGAGCTGGAGACTCTGGAGAGCCCAGTGGAGCGGGAGGAGTCCTCACTGTCGCTGAGGGGGTAGGCAGGGCTTCTTTGAGGGGACAGCAGGGGCGGCGGAGTGGCTGACTGGCACCTGGAAACAGAAAGAAAGAAAAAATTACGATCTTGGGGAAATGAGTTATTTGCCAACTTTCTTTTGACTGCAGGTCTCCACACTGCAACACCCCCCAAAGCATCATTGAGACACCAGTGACCATTCAGCCACAGAGGTGGGGGTGGGAGGTGGCAGCCTTTAACTGGTGATGGGCCATGAGCAGGACACTTGGCACACCCAAAACAAGTTTTCTCACCTCTCTTTGACCCCCTGCTTTTCCAAGTTTCCTGAACTCGAAGCTAGCTGAGATTCTCATAGCAAACCTCTGCCTTGAAACCATCTACCCCCTGCAGATGAGTAGACCTGGTTTGTCTTTGATCTGGTGCTGTGGCCAACAGATTAAATTCTCCTTATCAAATAGAAGTAATTTCTTATCAAAAGAATATTGCACATTGCGAAAACACATTGATCAGCTCGCACTATGTGTTGAAGAATATAAACTACATAGAAAGATCTCAAGTGTTACCCTGGAAAAAACCCTTGGAACAAATTCTTGCCATGGTTTGCAAAATCAGCTGTTGTTACTGGGGTTTTGTACACTGTTGCAAGGACTTTTAAGAACAAAAAGACACAAGAAAATTAACACATTAATCACTTGGCTCATCATGATGAGCCAGCAGTAAGGAAATTAAGCCAAAATTGTGTCAAAAAAGAGGGTTTGCCACCCTGCCAAAATCCATACATACAAATCATAGCAGAAATAATCACAACTACTTTAACATTAACTCCCTTCTGTTCCAAACAGTTCAGGTAAAAGAGGAAAGACCCATAAGTAATGCCTTGAATACACTATTAAGTTTATGCTGTGTGAAGACTGTGGACACCAACCTGGTTTTTATCAACTGTCCTGTACACAGGCAAGATCCAAATGAAAGAACTGCTTGCCCAAAAGAAATCAGGGGAGCAAATGTCTGCACTACAGCAAAGGGAGTAGAGATTCAGAAGATTTCTGGTGCTATATTGTTTTCTTCCCAACAGCCAGCCAATACCTACAGCAGAAGTGCCAATTTCTGTGCATTAATCAAAAAAATCCAGAGCACTGGGGTGGTTTCTGAAAAAATTTACTTTGACACAGGAAATATTTTCTTTTTCTTTAAATGCAGCCCCAAACCATATTATCAGATTTCGTCCCAGTTTCCTACAGCAAATATTTCAGAAAGCTCAAAAATATCACCAAAAAAAAAGTCAGAAAAATACAATAATCAAATTATCACAAAAGGGAACTGATCTCTTTTTTTCAGAGGCCTGAGAACAAGCAAGTCCATTTGTCACAGAAGTTCCGCTGCTTGGTGACTTTTATTTTTTTACTGTTTTGAAAGATAAACATGCCTGTAGGAAAAGAGATCTCGTGTCAAAGATGATGGCAAACACTCCCACAACAACTGCCTAAAGCAGGACAAGAAAGGATGCATGCCAGAATATGCTCTTTGCATCCTAGAAGTTGAATTTCCTGCCATTCTATACAGCTGTAGAAGGTGTCTTAAGAGATCTGAGAAGATCAAAAGCAGGTGACAGATGATGGGTGGTTTTGGCTGGCTGTTGCTGCTCAGTTTGTAGTGGATTACCTGGAATTACCTTGGCCAACATACCCTTATAGTGCCTGAAGATGAAAGCTAAATCAGGCTTAGTGTGCTCCCCTGATCCTTCATTATTTCAGCCTGTCTCATTTCTGTTTCTTCAGGTTGATACCACAAAGCCAAATTTTTATATTATTCATAACACTGCCTTATCTTAGATTTGAGATCATGATCTCCTAATTCTTTCATGTCATGCAGACCCATCCCAGAGCTACACTGACATTTCTCTCAAGGAAACAGGCATTACCCAGTGGAAGCGTATTTCATGTCAAAAGACTACAGCCACAGAAGCTGCATGTTGGCTAAATCCACTGTCAGCATTCAGCTACAGAATAGGGACAGAAGAGGCCCTGTGGAATGGTTTAGCATGTTACAACTTGCTTATTAGACTCTGATCTGTACTGGCAATAACAAGAATAAAATATAAAATGACAGGGACAAGGTCAGTAAAATGGGACAGCAGAGGTGAAGAGCATGCTGACAATCAGATAATCACACACCTTTCTCTGCCTTTGACACACTGCACAGAAAATGCCATAGGCATAGTCCTTCATCTTCTTGCAATCTAAGAAATATATTTTCAGCTATTTCTACTGTCAGGAAAAGGTTTGGTGATTCATCAGGGAAAAAGGAAAAGGGGAAAATTATGGTTTGTATAACCTCAAGAAGTTGCAAAACATTTCTTTGTAAGAGCTATGAACCATTCTTTCAAACCCCAGATTCCCAGTAAGGTAACTGCAATTAAGGCTTCATCTTGAAACTTCCAAATTCAGTTACAAAACTCCCAATCACTTCCACTGTGCTAGACTGGGGCTGCAGAGCCACAGGCCTTCTGCAGAAGTTTGCCCTCCAAGACTTGGATTACCTCAGTTAAGAAATAGATTCTGTTTTATACTGCATCACACTCTAAATTTGAGTAATTCAGAGACAATCTGTAGGACTTATTCAACAACAAAGAGAAACAGAGCTTTGGCCCAAAGGTTTCAGCATGCATTCTCTAAAGGATGCTGGTAAGTAACAGAACGGAAGAAAAGTCCAAAAGCTGATCAGTAGATAATAAAATGGTTCTTCCCCAAGAAACTTACTTCCACTGCAAGAATGTTCTCTTGAAGGCACAATAGTTCCACAGATTTTAAAACCAGTATTACTGGACAGAGATGAATAATTAGGAAATTTGCAACCTTCTACAAAAAGATTGTACAGCAAAATGCTTTTAATTGAAGCTTTCTACACACAGAATGATATGATGCAGCACTGTACAATGCATATCATTACATAAACTTTCCAAGTATCATCTATAAACAGCCTAAGTAGAGATTATGGAATCAAGTTTAGCTTTCTTAACAACTTCCCCTGACCAACACCTTCGTTCTGAGCAAGAATTATTTTTTTGAGGATATCAGCATTTCACAAAAGACACCATTATAAGTTGCTCTGATTCCCTAAGGGCATTCCTCCAACACACAGCCCTAGGTGTGCAGTGCCCAAACCCCTGGCAGGTCAGGTGTGCATTGCACTCTCAAAGGCTGCCAAGCAGCCCACAATGTCCTCTAAACAGGTGACAGACCCTAAAAGCACCTTTCTGCTGGGACTCGTTGCTGCTCACCAAGGAGAGCAGACAGAATCCAAGAGGTGCTTTTCCAGCTCTCTAGACCATCCTCAGCTTTGCTGTTGTGATTTGTTCCTTGACAAATCAGCAGTTACCCACAGTAGGGTGAAACTGATAATATCAGTCATGCTCTGTAGGATTGTGAACTGTAGCTACAACTGATCTCCACATTCTGATTCAGTCTCTTCAGTTTCTCTTTTTCTCACCCAAACATAGAAAAAAACCTTGTAATTTACAAAAACTGTCATTCTTGAGGGCTGCTCTCAAATATTCCTATATTCTATTGTTTTCTCTAGTAAAGGCATCTCCTTTCACCAGGCCCAGTGAACACATGTGGATAACAGTGGAGCTGCATCTCAGCTGCACTGAGAAGGGAACAGACAACACTTGCTTGAAGATAATTTCCAACCTACTAATCACAAGGCAAGAGATGAAAAAACAGTGTTCCTACCTTTTAGCAAGGCTGACTTGTACTGAAAATCTATGGGGATAGAGAGAGGCTCATTCTTGGTACCAAAAGTGCCTGAGTTCTCACCCTCTATCTGACACAAAAATTCAAAAAGTCTTCCATTTTGGACAAGACACCAATCTTCTTCCAAAATGTGGGTGCTAACATTTGTCTGTTTGTAGAAAAGGAAAAATTTAATTCCTGGAAACCACTCTGAAAGTGAGCAATACAAAATTAGTATTTAAAACTAGGGGGCTTGACCTTTTGATCCAGTTGAGCAGAAGCACAGCTCCTTCCTGTTTCCAATGCCAAACATCCACTCCAAAAAAGAGGAACAGTGGGTGCAGAAAATTCCCACAACTTCATGAGTAAATTTTAACATTGGGAGGCAGACAGAAGGGTGGTTCTAGAGCTGGGTTTATGTCTTGGAAATCAGAATATGGGTGGATAATCAGAATGTGCATTTATTGAGGCATTTGCATCCAAGATCCAGTATATACATTTTATATACACTAAGAAAAATCTTAGGTTGCATTTCAGGCTTTAACACTGACTGGAGGGTGCTTAAGAGACTTGCCTTGAAAGAGTTACAGGACTCCCAACTCTCACTGCCCTGTTCTGACCTCTGAGCTAAGCAGCTCAGGCTCTGCAGCACTGTTTTAGATTTCCTGAAGTATCAGGAGTGACCCCACAGATCATCGTGTCCTGAGGAAAGGCAAGCTGGAAGAAGTCACTCAGCAATTTTCAGTTTTGTAAATCCCATCTGCTCTTCTTAAACTGACACATACAGAATAGTAGGAGAGATTTTGGCACTCTGATCCAGGGAATTTCCCACTTCAACATGCTCATGCATGGGAGCCTATTTACTGAAAAAATAACAAGGAACATGATGACAAAGAGGTACTGGATTTTCCAGGCTCCTGTTGATGAGGTCCCATCATTTCCCAGTGACACTGATGTTGGGTGCAAAGAATCCCAGCACTGGCTTTACTCCTCAGGACTTTCTCCCCACTTTTGTTAGAAAAAATATGCTTTCTAAGTATTTTGTAGGGGTTTTTTTTCTCATTCCTGGTTCTTCTCAGGGCATTGTGCCATTTCATCAGGACAACCTAACCTGTTTGAGGGTAGCAGTAACATCAGCATCAGCTATGACCATAGAATTGTGAGTTTGGGAATGAGTAGATTTGGCCAGCACTAGAGACTTCCTGTTGCTCTAGCCAATATTTTAGGAGATCTGAAACAAAAGCAACAGAAATTTCTCTTTGCAAGGGCTGCAAAAGTCATGTTTAATACATACACTAAAACTGCCCTGACAGGTAAATGAGGATGCAACTTTGAAATTCTC